GTGGGGGCTAGCTTGTAGCTTTCCCAGAAACTTAAATTTGCTCTGCTCCCCTGGGTGCTGGTTTGCATTCACATATCTCAGCTACTGTCATAATGACACGTGCAACAGCCATGCTGTTTACAGAAAAAGCTAGAACTTTGTGCTGGTAAGTAAAAGCCCTTCAGAGTAGGTATACACTTAGTTGTTCCTTCCAGTGGTTATCATACTTCTTTTCTCGCCATAGTTACATGCTAACAATGTCCCAAAGCTATGGTTGCTCTTGCATTTCATTCTTAATTCTTGCAAGATAAACTAATAATGCAGGGAGTAAATGAGCACCATTTATTAATTAAAATCCCCAGGACACGGGATAAACTGAAGGAAATAGTGCTTTTTGAAAAGTAGGTGTAGCTTGCCATGCTGCATAGTCTTACACCCACACATAACTCTAGCTGGCACTTTTTGGGTGCCAGGCTGCATGCATCTCCTTGGCCCACCGTAGACTTCAGCTGCAGCTGTGGTGGACAGTGCTTATGCATCCAGCCTGTTTGCCTTCTCTCTTCTGCCTCAGGGTTCTCCCTTGAAGGAGTTTACTCCATCCAGGCCTGTCTCCAAATATAGGACACTTAATGCCCTCTCCACCAATGGTGAAGGGGGGTCAATGATTAAGTACCCTAGCCCATTGTCCTTCAGGGGGGCCATTCTGAGGAGCATTTTACTCTTGCTTAGAAGTTCTCAGTGGGACTGAGTCCCAGTTACCTCTCTGCAATCGGAAATCCGTTATATATTCTTCATTGACTTTTCCTCCCTCCTGGATTCGCTGTTTTGTTTCCCTCATTCCTGCTTCGTAAGATCCCCTCCGAAAGTTGTTATCTTAGGTTCTGCTTTGAGGGAGGCCAAATGAAGACAATCGCCATTACAGAATGATAAAGAAATCACTAGAAGCATCTCTTTTAGCATCTCCTTTTAACTCCCTGTAGAGAAAGATAGTTTTTCCAGATTTTTTTTAAAAAATGGACAGATTAAGAAGAGGATTGCTTGTTTCTTATTGTCATGTTAAGAAAAAGAAGACATTCAGAAGCCCTGCATTTCTATGGTTATGCTTTAGAAAGCAAGAAGCACATTCTTCACACCCCATTTTTCAGTTATTGGCATGTCATTTAGCCCATTTTCAGAATTCGTCAACTAATGACTACTCCCAGTTCAGAACCACATATGGAAAATTATAAGAAGAGACAATGAAAAGTCATCTGGTTCAATGCTCCATCTTCAGGTGAGAGGAGAACTCAGGTTAGAGAACAACATGTAAAGAGATTTCACAGTGAGCTCAGCAGAACTGTTCAGACCAGCTTCTGGGAAGACTGGTTTTTCAGGATGGGTTCCTGAATTTGGATTTTGGATTAAGTGTTATTGATTAATAAGAACTAAATTGGATCTCCAAAATGGAACTACTATACTCAGAGTCCTAAGGCTAGCCTGGAGCCGAGCTCTGAAGTTAGAAGGTGATGAGCTGCTCACCTCCAGTGCTCAGAGTCCAAGCCCTCTCTCTAAAGAGAGTTCATCACTGCTAGCTGGATGGGAGCATGCTAGAGAGAAACTCAGCTTTATCAGGAGCAGGCTCCTCTGAGATATTTTCGAATGCAACCAAAGGTCTAACATGAATAGGACTTAGACATGCAGTTTTTGTTGAAAGAAATTTAGTATAATTTGTATTCCATATGTAACGCATTGCAAATTTGTTCCTGCTGGATAATGCCATTTTATATAGCTACACAATTCACCATCTCCCAATCAGAAGACAGCATTTTTTTTTTTTTTTTTTTTTTTTGAGACGGAGTCTCTCTCTGCCGTCCAGGCTGGAGTGCAGTGGCCGGATCTCAGCTCACTGCAAGCTCCGCCTCCCGGGTTTACACCATTCTCCCGCCTCAGCCTCCCGAGTAGCTGGGACTACAGGCGCCCGCCAACTCAACCGGCTAGTTTTTTGTATTTTTTAGTAGAGACGGGGTTTCACCGTGTTAGTCAGGATGGTCTCGATCTCCTGACCTCGTGATCCGCCCGTCTCGGCCTCCCAAAGTGCTGGGATTACAGGCTTGAGCCACCGCGCCCGGCCAGAAGACAGCATTTTAAAATGACCTTTCAAACAGATATTAGCAAGATTTTAAATGAGCTTATCTGTCATCTTATTAAACTAATTTTTGAATATTCTCTCATTCCTTGGGAGAGTCTCTGCCTACAGACATCTTTTTCTTTCCAAGGTAATTAACTGACTGCTTCCTTGTCCTGTTTGCTCACTCAGTTGAAATTGTGGCTTCTGGTCAGAGTTGTGCCCGTGGGGTATTAGATAGAATCAGAAGGTAAAAGGGATCAGAATGTGTTCACTGATCATGAGATTAATCCTAGAATCTGCAGAACTCTTTTTTAAAAGATTGGGGACACTTTCTCTGTCACAGGCACTATGGTGGTTGTTAAGGAAGCAACAGTGCACAACACCCCGTCTCTGTTCCTCCTGGAGCTCACATTGTTGCCTGAGTGAGGAGGGCGCAGCGTGGGAAATGCTGTGATGTGGTGGCACCTGAGAGACCCCGCAGGAGGGATATGTAATCTCTAACTGGAGAGGGTTGTGGTTTTGGCAGGGAAGTGAGGAGATGTCTGGACTGACTTTTGAATGACCAGTAGGAGAAAGGTAGGCACAGGGAATTAGGTAGTGAAATAGTTTTTGAGGAACAAGGTTCAATGTGCTCCGAAGCCTAGAATAACAAGTGCAAGAATTTGATACAGTGAGGTTTGACTGGAGCATGTGTGAGGAAATTATGGCAAGAGATGAGTCTGGGCACACCAGAACTGGCTTGTACTTTATCCCTGAAATAATTCAAATTTTATCCTAAAGAAAGGGAGGTGTCATGGATGTTGTGTCAACAGTCATCTGATTGGACTTGCAGAACATTTTGGTATTCAAATGGAAAGATATATGGGACTTGAGAGGTGAGCACAGTTGGATGCAGGAAGACTGGTAAGGAGGCTGTCGTGGGGAACAAATTGGGAGAGCCTCAACTGTAGAGACTGAAAAAAGAGGAGAGGTTCAAAAGGTGTTAGGGTTGGGGGAATACCAACAGAACATAAAGTCAGTGGAGAGGGGGAAGGGAAGAGTCAAGGATGATTTCCAAATTTCCAAATCAGACAACTGGGTGGGTAGTCACTCTGTTTTAGAATATAAGGACCTGGTTTCAAAGGAGATGGAGGTGAGTTCACTATTGGACATGTTGAGTCTAATATATCTGGACCATGGGGCATCTGAGGAGAGTTATCTGGTAGGCAGTTAAATATGTGGTTCTAGAACTTCAGACCTATATTTGAACTGGATTTATTTATTTATGAATCATCAGAAGATGGAATATAGTTGAAGCTAAGGGAGAGGAGGTGAAACTGAAATTTGAGAGGTGGCCAGAGGGTGAAGAACCCACAAAGGAAATCAAGAAAGAATGACCTGAGAAGTAGAAGAGAAACGATGGAGAGCCGTACCCTAGAAACCAAGGAGCAGGAGAACTTCCAACAGGAGAAAGGTCAATAGTGTCAGGGGTCACATAAGATGAGGTTCTATTAGAAATTGCAACAAAGAGGTCACTGGCAACCTTGGCAAGTATAGTTTGAGTCAGAGACAGAGATAAAGGCGAGATTATTGAAACATGAATAATGGAGAAGAAATGAAGACAGAGTGTAGAAGAACTCTTTGGATGTTGGCTATGAAGGACAGATAGAAATAAGTTGATAGTTGGGAGAGGCAAGGCGAGGGAAGCGTTGTTATTCTTTGAAGTGTTTGTGTGTTAAGGCTAACAGCTCAAAGAGAGGTGTGGATGGAACCAGGTTCATATGCTCTCTTGAGGGCGGAGAAATTGGGATTCCGAACACAGGTGAGAAGAGCAATCTTAGAAGTAGAGGGGATACTTCTTCCACCGAAATAGAATGAAAAGAGGTATTTGTGGGGTGGGACAGGATATTGAGGAATTGTCACTTGCTCTATTCAACTCCTGTGGGGTTGGGGGTGAGATAATTTGCTAATGGTAAAAGAAGAGAGATGAGGTAGCAGTCTTGAGGCAATTGGTGAAGACTTTTGTGGATCGAGGGAAAAAACTCATAATAGATATGAAAGGGGTGCTGGGCAGTTGCTATAGACTACATGTTTATGCCTCCCTCCTCCCAGTTCATAGGTTGAAATCCTAACGCCCAAGGTGTTGGTAGTGGGAGGTGGGGCCTTTGGGATGTGATTGGGCCAGGAGGGTGGAGCCCCCATGATGGGATTAGTGTCCTTATAGAAGAAGAGGAGGAACCAGAGCCTCGTCTCTCTACCACTCGAGGATATGGCAGGAAGGTCGCCTTCTGCAAACCAGGAACTGGGCCCTCCCCAGACCCTAACTCTACTGCTGTGTTGGTTTTGGACTTCTCAGCCTCCAAAATTCAGAGAAATAAATCTTTGTTGTTTAAGCCACCCAGTGCTTGATTTTTTTTTTTTTTTTATAGCAGCTCGAGCTGACTAAAACAGCAGTATTGAGAGACAAGTAGAGGCCCAAGGTTATGAGGCTGCACTGCATGATTTTGATACGTATATTTATTATTTGATTACCTACTCTCATGTAGGGTGGAGAAGGTTTTTAGAGTCCACCAGGATGTGGGCGAAGTAAGCACAGGAAAGGTAGATGTATTAGGTAAAATTGGAGGCATTTAGGGCCTAGAGAGCTCAGTGGGTCCAGAATGTAAGTGAATATGAATAATTGAGAGATAAATTTAGAGAGATTAGTAGTGGAAGTCACGTTTTTGGGTAGGGAGACTGGTTTGTCTAACCCTTTGCTGCAACCGTTGTCCACTTTGACTTTTCTTTGGAAAAAAAAAATACAGTAACAATAATTTACAGCTAATCACTTGTAACAACTTCCCATTAGGATTTTAATTTACTTTGATTTCTAGATCATTTTAACGATGTGTTTTCATCTTAAGCTTCAGATCTTAAAAAAAGTATTTCTGTTGGTGATAAATTACTTGGTAAGAAAATGGGAGTATAAAAATTATTTAATGGAATCATTTTCGAAAGGAAAGTTACAGTTTGTAATGAATATATGTAGAGATTCTTCAGGCAAATTCATGCAGATGCCTAAGTCCTCAAGAATGAACACCAGAAAATGATACATGGTGATGGAGATACTGTCATTGGAAATGGAAATATACAAAGGGAAGACATTTAAATTGGTGGGTCGCATCGAAACTGTGATTCATTCTCCTTGTGCATAGGTACTAAGTTATCTGAGTTAGCAGCATTTGTAATGACTCTAAATTTAGAAAAATAAAATAAAATGAAGAGGAGGGAAAGTGCTGGCATGGCGATTTACAGTGACACAGAGCTAATGCTGAGATGTGAACGTGTGACCTTGTGATTACACTTTTGGATGTATGTCCTGGTTTGCTAATTCCAGTCACCAAGTTTGGTACACTTGTTAATGCTTTTTTCTTTTACTTAATTTAAAACATCAACAAAGTGCCTTTCTTTTGGATCCATCATACCAATTTATTATGCTCAGGAATGTCCAGACTTTTCTGTCCTGAGGCTTTTTTGAGGATGATGTCCGTTGTAGAGACAATCCAAAGGCTGGCAAAATAGCCCCTGGAAAGAGAGAAACAGAATGGAACAGAGTGTTCTCTGAACTCAACCAAGCCCAGAGATTGTAGTGCTGCCCCCCACTGAGCTACGGTAGTATACCGTAAAGAATATCATTGCCATATTAAGACTTAATTTTTGAAGTTCAGGCAACCTATCCATCACTGTCAATTAATTTGTACTAAGAGCTCAAGGTGGTTGGTGTGGTAGTGCTGATATGTTGTGGAGGTTATCTGCAGAGCAAATACAATAATTCATTTGGATTCATACTTCACCTAATTTTGAAAATCCATCCCTTACTTTTCTTGTTGAAAAATTGGAATGAGTTTCCAAGTAATGGATTTGTTGAGGAATTCAGTTTCCTCTTTGCATTTGACCCAACAGTGTATTGGTTGTCAGCACTTGGTGTTCTTCCATCTCTTCCTTCCAGAAGGGTCTCTTTATGGTGGTAGGAGATGACCACTTTGAGCACCTGGGAGGGAAAGAAACAATCTCTGAAGCAACTCCTGCTGAACTTCTTATACTGATGATTTGTGATAATTAAATGTGTGACTCCCCTCAACCCCAGTAAGGGATTAGTCTGGAGGTGGCACTCAGTCCAAGCAAAAGTAGGAGAATCAGACTGGGCCAGGCTACTCTTATGCTAGCATATCCCTGTCAGATGGCATTGTACCAGAGTCTGAAAGAAGGGAACTTTTCTCTCTAATACCAGCCCTTTGTTTTTCTCTATATATTTTTCTTCATTAGAATGTTAACTAACCTAGCTCTGAAAGTGAGTCAAGTGTACTTCTTAAGCCCAGGTTATATGAGGTTGATGAGTATGCTAAATGTGACCTCAGTATCAATAGCTATAGATGATTCCAGTACAGTGCTTAATAATATAGAGTAGAATAATTGGTGGCTTAGAGATGGGAGTGGGATTGGGAGTGGGTTGAAGGGTTAGCTGAGATTTCACATCTCGGTAAACCTCACCATAAATCAGTAAATAATATGAACACTTATCACTGACCCATAAAATACAAACAGAGGCTCTCCTTGAGTTGGAAGGAGCCATTTTGGAAATTCAAACCAGATGCTAATTCTATCTACTGTATAAATATTTCCGCCAAGTGGTAGGTATATAAGTAACGGGCATATCAGTGTTTAGATTACTCTCTTTTCATATGAAACAAGAGCATTCTTAGAAATGAGACTAACAGCAATGGGCACTGTTGCGCCACCTTGTGAAAGTAGATCACGCAAGGTAAATAAGTGCTGTACTGGATGTAAGGTCAGTACCATAGAACAAGATGATAGTTTAGGGAATGATGCTCTTCTTCATATATCTAAGGAAGTACATGTAGTAGCTTTTTCATCCACCAGATATGATATCTAACTATGGTAGTCTTAGCTCAGTCGTCTCATTCATTTGCCTAATAGAACGACTTTGGAATTTTTAGAAAATGTAGATACTTTTAGTAGAACCTTTACTGAGCTTGAGTTCCTGGAGTGTAAATGGATGTTTCAAAAGCTCCACAGGTGATTCAGATTTTCTGCCATTGTCGAGAGCCATTACCTTAGGTGCCAATGTCTTAAGACTTTCCAAAAAGAGATTAGAGACATGAACATCACAGTCTTTGTTATTTAGATGTGGATGGACATTCCTCACTCAGAGACAGTAGGTTAAATATACTTATGAAAAAATATAGTGTTATATATATTCACATTCTTGTTCATTGGCAAAAAAAAAAAAAAAAAAAAAAAGAAAGAAAATTAAGGCAGCGGTGGATTTCTACTTTTGGCATATCAAATTAACAGATTAAAAAAATTAGACCCTTAGGTCCCTCTATGTCATATTGTTGGTAATAAAGCTGAGAGCTGGTACTTCACTTTGAGCTAATAGGTATGTAAATTGGCAGAATTTTTCTGTACGGCTTTTGGCAGTGTGATCGAGAGGCTTAAAAGCATTCATAGACTTTGACCCAAGAATATATGGGAATTTAGCCCGAGAAAATAATCTGAATTGCAGACTAATAGAATTCCAGCATTATTTATATGAGCAAAACAATGGGAACTGCATAGTACATCTATATGGTGCAATAGTTGATAATTGTAATAAATTATGCTTATGATGAGTTTTTAGTAATGTGGGGAACACTTATGTTGTTATTGCTAAGAGAATGCAAACATTTACATATAGTAGATTCTAGATGTAAAGCAAAATGCCTACAAAGGTAGAAAAAGACCAAAGTATTAACAGTAATCATATTTTAGTAGTAAGACTACAAATTTTAATTCTTGCCTTTGTACTCTTTTGCATTTTCCAAGTTTTCTACAATACCACTTTTTAAAGAACATGTTTTACTTTTATAATCAGCAAAAAAAGATACACTCATGGGAAATGCTTTAAAGGCAAATATTTTGTGGAAGAATTGGCTGTGGAAGATCTCATAAATTGGGGAATCGATCTGTGAAGGGAAGAGATTTGAGAAAAATTTCAATAGATCAGAAAAATGCTTAAGTTATTTTCAAGCATAAGAAGAAACAGAAAGCTGGATCATAAGCATGTGTTCTGAGGAAAGTGTAATGAGTGGCTGAAATACAAAATATGAGAAGTATGTTGTAGAGATGGCAGGAGGCAAGTTGATGGAGGATGGATATAATGAAAAATATATTTCATTCTCTTCTTTTATGGCTTCAGAGTTGTGCGATGTTAGGAAACTTTCCTAACCCTTTGAATCTTCATGATTTGTTTATGTTCGTCGAGTATATGTTTAAATGAAGTAAACACAACCATCAAAGACTGAATGTGAAAGGAAGTGGATGACTCTGTTGGTTCAGAAATGACTTTCTTCTTCTAGGCCTTTTGTTCTTCTCCCCAAACTTTTAGAAGTTGATAGGCTTGGTTGGGGATAGGATGATTCTCAAAGTTGCTGTGTTGGTTAACATGTTAGTATTCTAGAAGATATCTCTTTCAAAAGTGAACCTGTATTAGTTGAGGCCCACAGGCAATCTATCTGACATTGTCTTTTTTAGTCAAGACTTCGATGGAAAGCTCTAAAGGTACCTGGTTGAGAAAAGCTCATAATTTCTCATTAAGTTAGGTAAATCTGATCATTTACTAACAATAGCCCTTTTCCAGAAACCTACTAAAAGCCATAACAATGTATTTATGAATTTCCCTTTGGTTTTTGGAGTGGACTATTTGTGTTTGTTAGTATCTCTTTTGTTGCATGTCAACATTTCCAAAGCATGTTAAAACAATTGCTCCATGTTCAAGCAATTCGTAGGTTTAAATGGCTGGTTAGAGGAGCCCAAGAAGTGCAGGGAGCATTATGATTCGATAGAGCTTCTGGATCGACTAGTTATTACTTTACTATCTTGCGGTATTGTACATTTATTTAAAGCTTATTTGATATTGAAAGAATAACTTAAAGGAACTGTTAGAAATAATTTTTTTTAAACTAATGTTTTTGAAAATTGTGATACTATTGCCCTTCTTAGTTTAAAAGAGAATGGATTTCTGAGGTACACAAGACCAGAGGGTCAGGTAGTATTTATAGCTTACTCTCCCATGCAAAGGTCAGAAATCCAGTGACTATAGGGGTGCTGTGAGATACGTGGCTGTGAAAGATTTATTTGCGTCTTGCTATTTTAAGTTTTTCAATCTATCTTAAAAATTTGAGAGTTCATTTTCTGTTATGAAGAAAAATGCATTACTAAACAACTTGCAAAGCCCTGTGGGGTGTGTGTGTGTGTGTGTGTGACCAAAATTTATAGCTTTTTTCATACTTTTGGACTTATGAGACATACCAACAAATATAAGAGATCCTGATTTTTTTTTTACAGTCTCCTCTATTTTCTGTTAGTACCAATGTACATTATTTTTATTATTTGGCTGCGAATTTATACTGTTTTCTATGTAGATAATTGTTATTTTCCTTGAATATTTGATGCAAGAATCACTTCTGAGAACTGGCATTTAGATAAGTAATTCAGTTTGTTTCCATTTGCGCCTCTTGGGGAAAGGCTTTGGACTTAGTGCTCCAACTAATTTTCCATCCAATACTGCAAAGGAAATGACCAAATAGACTGAGAACTAAGAGAAGTTATATAAAAAATCCAAATCTTCATGAGGAATTACTTATGGACTTGGCTAAAAGGTGGCAGATATTTTTGTCTTTGTAATGCTCTACTTAAGCTCAAAAACTCAATAGAGTTGAAGATTTTTCTTTGAATTCATTTGGGTTTTGAAAAAACTGTGTAAAATTGGTAATTTATCTGTGTATGTGTTTTTAGCTCACAAACATTTTGTTTTGGCCCCTAGTCTTTGGTTTCAGAAAGTAAGCAGGCTAACATGTGCATAGCACTGTTCTGTTTTTAATGGGGATGATGGGTTTAGGTGGAGATTTGCCATCACTGACCACCATCTTGGGTTTGTCAGCATTTCATGAAAGGAGAATTAGGAAGAAACAATATAACCTAGTGAGGTCTTTTTTTCTAAGTCCAGTTCTTACCTTCTGTATGTGTTTTTCTGGTTGTCTTTATTCCTATTCTAATGACCTCAATATTTTCACTTTTGCAGCTGGTATTAGGTTGAGCTGCTGCAACAAGAGACCCCTAAATAAAGTTGCCTAAATAAGATGGAAATGCCTTTCTCTTTCATCTAACAATGCAGAAGCTTCTTTATTCTATTAACTTTTCATCCTTAAGGTGAGGTCTTCATCTGTATACTGGAAGTTCTTTCATCAGCACCACATCCAAAGGAATGGGAAGAGAGTATATGGTAGGCAGTCAGTATCTTTTTTTTTTAAACTGAGTCTCACTCTGTCGCCCAGGCTGGAGTGCAGTGGTGCAATCTCAGCTCACTGCAAGCTCTGCCTCCTGGGTTCAGGCCATTATCCTGCCTCAGCCTCCTGAATAGCTGGGACTACAGGCGCTCGCCACTATGCCTAGCTAATTTTTTTGTATTTTTAGTAGAGACAGGGTTTCACTGTGTTAGCCAGGATGGTCTTGATCTCCTGACCTCGTGATCCACCCGCCTCGGCCTCCCAAAGTGCTGGGATTACTGGTGTGAGCCACTGCGCCTGGCCAGCAGTCAGTATCTTTTTAAGGGTGTAATGTGTAAGTTGGACACGTGACTTTAGCTCCTATTGTATTGGCAAGAACACAGTCATATCCAGTTGCAAGGGAGGCTGTGAGGTACAGTTTCTAGTTGAAGAACCTTGTTGAATTTTAGCCTTGCTAAAATTGAAGGTGGAATGGTGTAATGCTAAATGGGAGAAATGGAGAAAGAATACTGGAGCTTTTAGTCATCTCTGTCACCTAGAATAATAGAGAGGTCAAAGTTCAGCAGTGTGCACCCAAACCTCCATTTTCTCCATACCTGATACCATGTTGCAGAAACTGAAAGCTTGCAACCTGAGGGCTAACACTAATCCATTGCTTGAGATAATTCTATCCATGTCTAATAGTACTTTAAAAGCTTTAGATCTGCTTGCAGGAGGGATCTAGAATGAGTGTCGCTACTCTAAGCTCAGTATTTTAGAGTCAGCTAGATTTTTCTACTCCCTTGTTTTGGTTCTAGCATGCCTGGTGCCTGGTGCTTGAGACATGGGGTTCTTTCAGTGAATGCTCTACTGTGAAGATTATCTATATTATACCAGCTTAGCTGGCTTTTTGCAATGTAGTTATTAAATTTCAACTGTTTTTAAGTTGTAATAGGCACTGCATCAGAGAGGGGTATATCAACAAGATGAATAAAACATAGTTCCTGCCTTTAAGGGATACATGCTCTGGCACACTTTTTCAAAGGTAAATGTTTCTCCAAAACTATGTTCTGAGGAAAATACCCTAGGACCTTATTGCTACCATCTATCCATTATCTACCAATATTCCCTCTTCCCATAGATTCCACCCAAGAAGAGCCCCTACCACCGACAGGAGTTCGGCTCAGACCTGAATTCCTGACATCAGTTTCCATTTTGTATTTGTTTTCTAAATCTGCAGTGGCTCTGAAATTGACCTCACAGATTCCTTGGCTCATTGACTCTAAGGCCTCAAATATCTACTAGACTAGGCTGCATGCATTCTGATGGAGGCAAGGATATCAAGGCTCACAGTGTGAGTTTTCTTTTCATGTTTGCTGTTCAGTTCCTGTAACCGGTATTTGTTGAGGCTCTTCTATGGAATGAAGCATGTGGGGTGTGAAGCTGAGTAAGACGTGGTTCTTGCTCTTGAGCTGTTCATCTTGTAATGAAAGAATTACACTATTATGTGATTCGTCCACTGGTAGAGGTATGGGAGATAGAGTGTTATGGAAGTATAGGAGAAGGACTGGCTAATGTCTGAGGGGGTTGGAGAAGTTAGTGACATTTACATTTGACCATAAAGAAGGAATGAGTTCACCAAATAAAAGTAGTCAGGGGTAGGGGACAGAGTGAAGGTGGCCTTCCTGACAGAGGGGACATCTTGTGCAAAGGGTGACACGTGAAATATCATGGGGTCTTGTCCTCAACACTAAAAAACCAAGAACCAAAACCAAAATCTCCATCAGCACATTATAAATGATGTTTCCCTTGAAATAAAGACTCTGTTAAAACAACTCTATGTGACACCTAGATTATTTAGTTTGTAAGAATCTGAATCTGAACAGGACCATTGTGTCCCAATCAGGGCATGAAGACAGTTTGGTAAGGACTCTCTAGGGATGCTCATGTTCTAGGTTTTCTTAGCTCTAAAAAATATCCACATTTCACTTTATGAGCTCTTTTGCCAGTCACTGCACTGCTTTGTCAACCAAAGTGCAAAGGTAGCCAAGGAGCTCAGGGCCATCATTAATTATTCAGGTATTTGTGGAAAGCCTATGTGCTAGGCAGTGGGGATATAATGGTGTGTAAAAAGGTATCCTGGTCTCTCTTCCCACAGAACTCACATTTAAAAGACAGCTATTTATTCACCAGTTGCACTAATGCAACCTAATGCGGGTGGATTGAGAGGAGGTGTGGGGTTCTAGGCAAAGGGCTCAGAAGCAATAAAGCCCAGTGGTGGGAAGGGGTGTGATGTGTCCAGGAAGCTTGGAGAGAGTGAAGGGGAAAGGCATGCAAAATCAGGGTTTTGAGAAGAGAAGTGTTGTGCCCACACTACACACTAGACCTTTTTAAGGATTTGGGTTTTTCAGTGGGAAGCCACTGAAAGATTGTGAATTGGAGCTGACTGATTTTTGTTTAGAGGAAATATTAGGTGCTAAACAAGCATTTATGGATGCTTATTATTAATCATGTTATCAAATCAAATAGAAAAACTCCTGGGAGGCAAAAACGTAAATTGTTACCGAAAAGCAGTGACAAAATAGAAAATAAAGTTTTACTAATTTTACGTTAAACAGTTTTGTTTACTCTTTATAGCAAATCTGGCATCATGGAACTGAAGGAGTCCCACCTTTTAGGGAGGTGGTTTGCGCAAGAGTGAGTAGTAAGTTGGTGGCTGATTCATTTCTGCCCTGCTCCATGAGTGACACTGTTCCTTTCCTTCCCCCTTTCCTGCCTCCCACTCCTGCTGAAGCTTTGCAGATAAGGAATCAAATTACTCTCTGTCTCTCATCAGAGCTTCTCAAAATGTGAGAGCTTTGATTGCAACCATCTCCTTGGTTCAATTTCTGTCTTCAGGATCTTCAGTGTTGCTGCCACGCCATCCCTGTCTGTCCCCAGGGAGATGCCATCATGTCTTGTTGATCTTCACATTCCAGTGTCTCCAGTAGCGCAGACCAGTCAACAATTCAAAGCTGTAATTGGTAGATTAGCACTAATAATAATATCAGCTAAACAATATATAGGTAATGGAAAGGTGACCAGCTGAACTAGTCTCCTAGATTCATTTTGGAGAATAGTGGAAAGTAAAGTTGTGTAGCATTCATGAAAATTGTGGCTTTATGGAATGTTTTTTTTTCTAAGAGATTGGCTCTTTTTTTTTTTTTTTTTTTTTTTGTAAACTGAAATTTTAGAAAGTGAGAGCTTTCTGAGTAATATATCAATCACAGAGAGGGATCTGTCTTTTTCTGGCAAGTTGAATAGGCCATGGGAATTTTTTTCTACCTTACCTACACTTGCTGTCTTATGAGTTATGAAGTATTATTTTTCCTGAAGCCATCAAGAATGGCAGGGAGGAGGGGAGCTAGTCCATATATTCACTCTTCCTCTGCGCGTCTCTAGGGTTTTCTGTCTCTGCCTCTTTATCCCTGTCTCTGCTTGTTTCTGCTGTTCTTCCTCTTCTCTTGCCTCTTTGGCATGAACCAGCAGTAGCATTTGTTACAGGATTTTCATGCGTACGGTCTTCTGGGCAGTGGTTTGTGACAGGGTGGGGCATCCAGGAGTGGCTCGTGGGGATGATGGAGCAAGAGGCCAGGCAATTGAGGAGGCCAGTGGGAGAGCACTGGGTACACCCAGGTACAGAGGAAAGACACAGCGTTCAGTGGGGTGGCTGAGGGTGGGGGTGCTGTCAGGAGGTGGAGGAGGTCTGGGGAAGCATGACAGCCTTGGCACGAGAAGCAGTCAGCCTGGCCAGATAGAGCAGGTAGGCAGCAGGCAGGAGCTGGCATGAATGTAGGAGGGCAGCAGGAGGCCGGAGGCTGGGCTCAGCTCTGGCGGCTGAGACCTGAGACTCAGGTGGGATTGAGAGGACCAGGCCGGCATCAGGGGCAAAAGTTAGCAATCCTACCCCAGAGGCAAGGGCACCAGAACTTCAGGCCAGAACCCAGGCAGAGAGTGATGAGAACGACCATAGTAACCCAGTGCTTGCTTGTGGAGGACTGTTGGTGCCAGGTACCCATCCGAACATTTTATTAGACCAAGGCTTTTAATCTGCACAATCTTCTTGATAGAATCTTCATTTTGTAAGTGAGGAAATGGAGGCACAGGAAGGTAGAGTAGCTGCCGAGTGTTACCCTGCTGGGAAGTGGCACAGCTGGGATATGCAGACAGTCTGGCTCCAGGGTCCCTGCTCATAACCACCTTGCTTCATGGTATTCCTGTTACATATCACAGGGAGGACCACTCACACGGGGTGCATGGGGCCTTTGGAGCTGGGCAATGTGGGCTGCCCTGATTCCATACTACTTCCCTTAAAAAATTTAAAAGGCGGATTCTTCCACACTGCCTCCTGTGTATCTTTCATATCTTAACTCGTTAATTTCAAAACTATTATCTCCGTGGTATTCGTGGGGCCTGGAGAGACTCTGGACATGCCTCCCTAGGTGGTAAGGTCTGAGTTCAGCCTCAGAGAACTACAGCAGAGGACTAATAGAAGTGGAATCTATTGTCTGTAGTTTTTTGTTTGTTTGTTTGTTTTGTTTTCATTCCCTTGTCTGCCCTGTTGCTACCACCTATCTGATGGGCTCCAGGGAGGAAACAGGGGTATGATACTCATTCTTGCAGTTGGCCACACAGATTTCTAGAGGCAAATGAGTAGAGTAATATTACTTACAGAAGACGAGAAAATTCATCTAGCACACAGTAGTCACTTAGTAAAATTTAAACAAAAACAGAGAACAAAATAATTCCCAAGACTGAATTGGCAAACAGAGACCTTGGACTTGTGTTCTAGCCCATGGAGACAAGAAGAGAACTAGCCTTGGCTGAGTCCCAACATTATTCCTTTGTCTCTTCTCTGAGCTCTTGCAGTTCTGCTATAGAACACATAACTACACTGGCTTTGAACAGTTAAATTCCCAAGAAATTTAGGTGGAAAATTAGAATCAGAATTGCCTTTTGCTTCTAAATTTGCACCAGTTTGTCTTGATCATGGCTATCTAAATCTCATAGCTAATCTTCTCACTTTTGGCTTTTCTCTCCTTCTCTCTGTCCAAACAAGTGGAAAACAGAAATACCTATCCTTTGTACTCTACTGTCATTTTCATGGGTTCGCTCTATGACAAAGCCCAGCACTGGGTAAGGAAGAGGGACTTAATATCCCTAAGTGTAAAGCCCATGAAAACGAACTGAAAGTAATGTTTCCTTGTGATACAAAACAGAGCTGTCCTAATTTGTTGAGGGCCATGCCATTTCCTCCACTGAATTAAGCTCAGTTGAGGCATTTGTCAAATTGCAAGGATACCTTCCCCATCATGAATCACGTGACATTTATAAACAGAGTCATAAAGACGATGCTTTTTCATGGGGTTTTTTTGAGTTCGAACTGTTGATCATAATGAGAGATAACTGAAAAAGAGTTGAGTCAGAAGTACATTCAGCAGGGCATCCTCAGAATCAGAGGCAGCCCCCTTGAGGCTATGCAGTTTTGGAGGCTACTCAGTAATGAGAGGTAGGTGGGTTTCTGGGAAGCACCAGCACAAGATAAGCCCCAAGGTTTTCAAACTTGTTCTCACTGTAACTGCAGGTGGGAGAAGTAGGCCAGAAACGGGGTGGTTTCTCTTTCATCTTCTTGACCATCATTCAAATGGAGAACTGTTAAAGTCAAAACCAAGAAGGTACCAGTGTCTTGGTTGCTTTTCACCACCTGCTGCAGTGAAGTGTGAAATTTGGCCCTAGGAACTTGAACCTGCTGGAATCCATAGACCCTTTCACTAAAAGCCAGGGACTGGAGGTGATCTGAAACAGGCCCGGGAAGCTCCCAGGGACCTCTCACTACTTCTCAGCCTGGTCTCAGTTTAGAGAATCTTGGGACAGAGATAGTCAGTTCTAAGATCTTTCTAGAGTTCTGAGCTCACTTTTCTGGAACTCCTTAGAGTTCCTCTGGGGAGGTTCAGAGCTGAGTGTCTCACTGGGGTTCCTCTGGAACTCTGGGATCAGCCCAAATATTGGGTTGAAACCCTTAGGTGACTCATAGGTGTGGTGCTGATTCTGTGTAGATACAGACCCTAGGGGAAGACTCCCCCACCTGTGATCTGATTTTTAGTTATCAGCTGTGGGTGAACAAAATGACTTCTGATGGGATAATTTGTTTGAATGGAAGGCGTGGGAAAAATAGGAATTTCCCCAACACAGTGACTTCTCTCTATTTCACCAAATTCCTCTTGGGAACACGCCTACTGCCCCTCATCTTGAAAACTCTATCAAGGAGGAAGTAGGGGAAGGAACACTCCAGTATAGAACATATGGCTTTGAATAAAACAATTCAACCTTTGTAGGCACTAGAAGGACCAGATAAGGAGACTCCTGTTGTTCTCCCACCTCTTACAGTTTGTGATTCGGAGTCCAGCACGTTTCTGACTTCCTGGGAAGCAGGCAGAGCCACGCTGCCCATGCTTCACATCTATTCTTAGTTAGAGGAGTTGGGTGCAGGAGGGACCACAGCCTGCTATGCGTGATCCAGTGCCTCCCTGCTGACATCCCGTCCTGGTCAGACTCGCTGACTGCATGCATTAGGGTACCGTAAAGTGCGCCCCTTCTCTTTAAAACTTCCTTTAGGCCCTCACACTGGCTATAGGGAGTGCTCCACGGCAGCCATCCACAGAAGAGCTGAGCTATGTACAGTTTATCCAATTGGGAACAATTTCTCTCATCTTGATGAATTGTGAAAGTGGGCTGCCTCTGTCTTCTCCCCTTAATTTAGATGTCCATTTAACATAATCAGAGAATACCTATACTTGGAATTGCAGTGGTAAAGTCGGGAAATGATCTAGAGAATTTCAGAGAAAAAAAAGACCGTCTTGTCTCAGTTTTCCGTTGATTCTGGTTGAAATACCGTATGGCTGTAGTTAGAGAGTTAATAATTAAAATAAGAGTCTAACACGTGAATTTGAGCACAGCAGCCCTTTGATCCGGTCCTCTTGGTGTATAGGGGAGGGAACCGAGGTTCCACCTGGCCAGGGACTTGCTCCAACATGCATCCTTGTCGACAGGTAGGGCCAGCACTGGGTTTCTGTCTATGGAATCCCGTTGACTGCACTCATCCCCTGCTGCTGTCCTCCCTCCATGGGGGCACAGCCTCAGAGGTGACAATCTGTTCAAACCCTACCATTTTGGGATTCTGAAGGACAGCAGCATCATCTTGCTGTCATTTATATCTGAAAGTGGACTAGGTATTGAGGCCACTCCCAAGATGTGCAACTCTGATTGAAAGACATGAACGGGTCAGCACAGACCTGGGAGAACTATGCTCTGCTCAGCTGTTGTAGCCCTTGTGTTGTTTATTATTTTGACTCAGGTTTGTTCCTTTAAGAATTACGCTTTTCAGAGATACTGGCTGGAAGGACAGGCCTCCTTTCCTAGGTCCAGGGCCAGCCAGTTACTCCTGTGCTGAGCTCCCATGAACTGCAGCCAATGCCTTCCAGCTGACAAAGCAGCTTCTCAATGGTAAGTGTTTATGTTGCACTTTAGATTTGCAGAGTTCTTTCCCTAAGTTATTTCTTACCTCATTTTGGCGGCTGAAGAAACCAGAGCCCATCGAGGTGGTGACTGACTGGTCCAGAGTCATCTGACCCATTAGTGGCAAAGCTGATACGGGGGACTCAGAGCCTCTGAGTTTCTGAGTCATTACTTACCCAGTCAGTCATGCAGCTGCTCTAAAATATGTTCTGTGTCCCTCGCCAGCTCCTTTGTCCCCTGACTTTAGCTAGCTTCTTTTAGAGTGGGCCATAAAGCTCTCCTGTGTCAAAGCTGCAGCTTTTTTTTCTATCAGTTGACCAGAAAGTTCTGAGTACCTAGAGAAACTCCATCCCAGGCTGCTGCAATGTGGGACCTGTCCTAGGTCAACTTGAGTTGCGGTGTGGCCACAGCAGGCGGAGGGAGTCTGACATTTCTATTTAGGTTTTGGGGGAAAGACCAATGCCATTTCAGGATTATTAAAGATTTATGTATGGGAAGGGCATGAAGAATTTACATGAAAACATTGGCTGTTGCTTAAAGTTGATTAAAAACATTCTACTACAGAGCATTAAACATTTTGCGTCTAAAAGTTGAGAGGTTTTTGGCTTCCTTTTCGAACTTCACCAGTTGGGACACAGAGTTCTTTTCTTGCCAGTGAGGCAGAGACTTCATCGAGAATATTGAAAACTTTTACTATAGAAATTCCCACAAGAAATCTTACCATCTGTTTATTCTAGTCATTTTTTTCTTCACCTTGGGTTTAAAGATTTTTTTTATGACTCATTGCCCTTTTGACTTAAACGCATCTGTTAAGTACAGATGTTGGATGAGATTAGTATCTGTTTACCTGTCTTTACATGATATTCTCTGAAAATAAAATCTTTCCTTTGCTCCCCTCTCCAATTGTGAATTTAATTAAGAAGATGAGCAGTTGTGTTTGGAGTATTCAATAGTCTGCCTTTCCAAACATTCCACGCAGCCTTTTGGATATTGATAAGTGTTTATTGTAGAACTAACAATACAGGCGAAACAGGAAGCAGCTCTTTGCTGGGTAGGATGCTCCGAGGCGCCCTCCACTCTCCGAGGGAACGCTCTTCAGCTGACTGAAGCAGGGAAGCCGAGCCAATCAGAGGCCGCTTTCCTAGCTCAGTCACCAGTCTGTGGTTGAGGAAGGGTTTTGCTTTTTGTGCTCTGTATTGGGAAGGCAGATAAAATGCCAGGTCTGGACTGCCTCTGGGGATAACCTCACCCTGTGGGATGTGAATGAATAGCATCTTGCCTGGTAAATCCACAGGAATTGATAAGGCAGGCGCAGTTCTCCCAAACAGGCCTTTTCTCTTTAAGCTCTAGCTGTGGTTTCTGCAGCAATTTTGTTTTTGCCTTGAAAGAGGTGCTCTGGATTATCAGACCTCCATGTATGACAATTTGTACCTGCATGGAATTGAAGACTCGGAGGCTGTAAGTATTTTCATAGATAGCTAATTCCCTCTCCCCTCCTCTTCCTCCTCCCACTATCCCCTTCACCATCCCCCCCCCCTTCTTATTTCTTAGGCAACGCAGGGAACATGGAGCAGAAAGCTAACATCATTCTGGGGCTTGCTGGCTGCTGTGTAAATGTTCTCTGTGTAGTTTGTAGGTAACTGAAATTATTTATTGTCAAGCAAAAAAGAAATTAGGGTGATGGCAAAGCATCTTAAGAGTGTAGGCTCTTTGAATTTATACATTACCGGGTCCACATTTGATCTCACCAGGGGTAACTGCTCCTTGTAGACTGGTTTAAACTATGCAGAAAGTGCCTATGTTTTCCAATAGCAGGGTTCATAGAAAAGCCTCATTCATTATATAATATACATTGTTCGTTGAGCTAGCATGAATGGAAGTTCCTGAGCTGTAGCTGTATTATTATGTGCTTTCTGGCCAAACAAGCAGTGCAGATCTACTGCTTCTTTGTTAAGGAAATCAGATGCAAGGGTTGTGGCCATACAGCACCCCAGTGCAGAGGCAGTGGGCAGTGTTCCTGTACTCTACCTTGGAAGAGCGAAGTAGACTCACATGTGTTTTGGGTTAGAGAACTGGATTCCTTCTCCCCCCTAGGTCAGGTTCATGCAATCTGTTAAAATCGGGATGAAATAATTTCCTGAAATCCCTAAAAATCATACCACAGACTGCTAGCTTTTGAATATAGGGTAAAGCTGATAATTGAGTCTTTCTTTTGACTCTTGCTGGTGGTAGTTCCTATGTTTTTCATCAATACACAGAAACGTCGCGAGGTAGAATGGTTGAGGGTGGTTAATGGGAAGTGCTGTGAGGAGTCTGAATTTTATGGGAGTGCAGTGCCATACATGTTGCTACATTTGAAACAGGAGTGTGTTATATAAGATTCTCTGGCTAAACCACCAAATAAACAGGTTATAACAAAAGAAAAAAAAAAAAAAGCCCTGTGGTGTACGTCAATGCAGACGTATATGTCTAATGATGTGCTATCCATGAAAGATAGGAATCCTCAGTTCTGTTAAGGCATTCCGTTTTTCCTTCCTGTCTGTGTGTTTGCTCTAACTCTAACTCTGTTTCTGCAAAGTCTCTCTGCATGTTGCCCAACGTGCTCATAAATGATCAGACTGTCAGTGTATTGCAAGGGACCGTAGTCTAAAACATTGGCGGCTGAAATCAAGAAGGTCCACACTTGCCGGTGGGGTGGGGGATTGGTAAAGGCAATTATAGGAGTTCAGGAAGCCGGCTTCCCGGGCTGGGTTCTTCAGAAGGCCTGATCACTTCTTCTACCCTTCTCTGCTCACTCAGTTATGAAACCTGTGATGCCTTGTGAATGATAAGTTTTATTTTCGGCCATTGATGTTAAACTTGAGCAGGCAGTGTGTTGCACCGAAGTGGACTGGAGTCATTTTAGAAATGCCTGTAGAAACTGGCTGCTGTGAAGAGTTGGCTAGGAACTAATATATCCAGCTCCTTGTTCTCCAGAACTGTATAAATTTCAGATGCACTGGTTCAGAGGGGGAGCCATTATAAGTATGAAAACATTTTATTTTATTGCTATTTTTTGCCTTTGGGTCCAGTCTCACAGGACAGCTGAGTTTTTCTGTAGGATGGGAAATGAAGAGTGCAGTGACTTGACTCGGTGGCGGTAGTTGATGGCGGGTAGTGCTAGGTACTGCAGTGCTGTACTCCTGGTGACTCAGTGGTGACCAGCAGGCTGAGATCCTCCGGGCTATGCACATCCGTGGAGGTGAGGAAGGTGGGAAACGTGAGGAGTGGAGATGGGCATCTGGCAAATCCTCAGTTGAGAGTATAGGAGGCTTTCGGGGGGGGGGGGATTGAAACCGTGTCACATAAATCAGAGGGGAAGACAGAGATGTTCGGAGGGGTGAACTGACTCTGAATGCTCATTTGAGTTTATTTGTTTTTATAAGGAAGAATAATGTGATGTGTTACCCAAGATGGTGTGAACAGAGCTTCAAGCCAATGGAGAAGACTAGGCCTAAATAGCTGACCTGGTGAAGTGACACATAAAGCCACACCTGGAGTGCCACCTCCTCAGCAGTCTTTCTCAGTGCCAATGCATTTATGGCTGTAAGTGTGGGGGGTTGTCCAGATGGAAGCAGAGCTCTCGGAACAGGTCTGGTGGATAGGCGTGGAAAGGCTTTTCTCAGATGGCCAGCTGCAGTCCGAGAATATACAGGCACTAAAAGCTGAGTACGGCACTTCGGTTGGGGGTGGGGGTTGGGGAACCATCCGCATATGTCCTGCCACTCTGTGCTGTTGAAAATGTCTTTGTGGGGTGTGTGGGAGTTCACCTGTGATAAGCGATTATTTTCAATGTTTTCACACAGTAAGCTTGTAATAAGATCATCTTGCCTAGGGGCTATTTTATTCCGAATAAGAATAACACATTATTATACACTGTTAGCACCTCACATCCCCACAGTGGGAGAGAGATTTTGGTACTGTGATGCAAGGCCTTTCTTAAGAGTTTGGTCCAAAAGTAGATATTATGCTCCCAGTGCCCTAGATTTTAGTTTGTAACCTCCGTGTTTCACATACTCTCTATATGAAGAGAGAGGAAAAAGAAACGTGCCAAAACACACTCAAGTCTGGCATTTTAGATTCTTGAGTCCTGTGGAGCCTTTTTGGGCAAGTCCATTAACTTCTGCTTTGGTGTCCAGGAGGATAGTTAAGAATCTGGATTACAAGGAAGTGCAAAAGATCATTCATTCGGTGCCTCACAGCAGGGCCCTGCTTCCGAATAGGAGATTTCACACAGAGCATCACCTTACTTCTTGTGTTACCTTGACATGGATGATGGAGTGTGTGCTTCCAGGTGAGCCCATACCTAGCCCAGGCTGGTTCCAGTGGGTCGTGCACATCGACTCTTCCTACATTGGCTGCTATATAAGAGCTGCCTCTTCTACCTTCACTGTCCCCCACCGTGTCTTAATAAAAGTCCTGGCGGCCAAGAGTTTTTTCATGGACTGAGCCCCCCATGTACACTATACTATGTGTTTTCATCTGATTTGCAGTAGATTTCATTAGACCTGCTCTTTAATGTGTACACGTATTTCTTAAATGGATTCATTGTGTATTTTGATGTTAGTGGAATTATTCTGGGAATAGATTTATTTTTCATTCATCAGGTTTATTACACAAACCGAGGGATGTTCTTATGGGGATCCATGGAAGCAGCAGAGAAAGTTACCAAAAACCTACCATCCAGAAATAGTCACTGTTAGTATATTGCTGCACACCCTTTCAGATGATCAATCCACATATATGTAAATAGGTCAGTCTCAACCTGCTACTGTGTGTTGCATCCTATTCTGTTAAATGCTGTTCTCACTTGAGAAAAATGTTGAGCATACTAGGACTAGAACTAGCCTGCACAGGAGACGCTTTGCAAAATTGAAAGCTCCTACATGGGCCTTCTGGAATTGTGAGCAGCTTGAAATATAGATTCTTAGGGTATATTGTAAAGTGATGCCGGGGTTAGTTGCACATAGAATTAATAGTTCATTTCTCTGACACAATTGCTTCCATTTCTAAATGCTTAAATTCTAAAGCATTTAGAAGGAGAGACCTGATCTTTTCCTGTGAAAAAGATGATCAGATCATCATTCAGGGCAATTTCCAGAGAGGAAAATGTAGTCTTTAAGTGTTTTCAATGATAGAAAGGAATCATAATATATTGATTCATACTGTTAGAAATTTAATGTATGTAAAAGTTACAGCAAAGGTAAATTTTACAAACAATATGTATGTATAACAATATGTGAGTGTATATATAAAAGCACATGTTTAAATTTACATGTACCTACACATTATAAGGATAGCTTTGTGTTAGTTATTTAAACTATTTATTTTCTATAAGCTGTGGAACTATGTATGTTTGTCTCAATGTCTGTGCACCTCTGCATGCATATGTACTGTTCATCCTCGTACCTTCACCTACATTCATATACAGATATGTTCCATGCATCGCTAATTGATGGTTAATGCTAAGTGGGAGATTTCTACTGTGGAGCTTTTGGAGAAGGAAAATTAGCTGCTTTTGATATGAACAAAGATACCCAAGAGAGCTGAAAGACAACGCAGCCACAAGAGAATAAAGGATTGCTCCTTTCAAAGTATAGTAAAGTTATTTTAAATATGAAGATATGTCCTTGTGCTTGCTAGGGAGGTGGATAAACTTCAGAGAGAAGGATTTATATGTTTAGGGGCATTCGGAAGACACTTTAGGGATTTAAGGATTAGATTTCTTTTGGAAACAAGAAGGCCAGAGGTCTGTATGGTTTGGTGGATCAGAGCATCCCTTCTGGGGTCAAAAAGTCTTTCTGGTCTATTTATAGAGAATGAGGACTGATTTGTAAGAGAATCCAAGGACTGGATGTTGGCATCTCTGACCAGAGAAGAAAACCAAATGTTGCTCCTGGTTTGTGTAAGGAATTTGACTCAGAAAATCAACTTGTTTTACTCAGCTGAGCTATGTTGGTGTTTGGCTAGGATGTGTTAAGTAAGTGATGAACAGGGCTTTCTCTTCAATCAGCAGTGATGGTTTTCTAAAATATAGATTGAAATTATTTCTAGATATAACTGGCATGGAGCCAAAGAGAGAAATTCCTTGAATCGATCAGATCCCATGAATTTGCTGTTCCAGCTTGTCAATCTTGCTGCTTTCTTGTTAATTTTCTGTTTTTGAGTCACAGAGGCAAGAATTTGGATCAATCCTCGCCAAGTACTTCCGTGTCTCCTTTTCTGCTGCTGTTATTATTATTATTAGATTATGATGAGTCAATCCAGGATTTTAGAATAAGGTCCTGTGACTCCCTTTGTATATACTCAATGAACATTCCATTATTCTGTGGTGCAAGACATTCTGTATGAGGGTCAGCAATAACTGTGAACAACCATTCTTTTAGGGTGAAGGTGGGGAGGCTTCCCATTGCCTTAACTCTTCTCTTTCTATGGGGTTCAGCTTGGACCTTATTTCTACGTGGACAGTTCTCCCATTCTGGTCACTATCTCCCCTTTACTGTCTCTTACCCAGATGAACAAGGCCACCTAAGGAGGACCTAAGAGGCCACCTAAGAGGATATAACTGGACGGGTTATCATGTTTCATTCTCTTCTCTTCCCTCTCCCACTAGTCCTTTAAAATAATCATCAAGCCATGAACTCAGATATCCATGACGTTAAGTTAAAAATTGTACCAAGGAAGTGCTACAGATACAGGCTCTGTGTTCTCATCTACATCGGCTGATTTAGGGGCCTTTCATGTGGTTGCATCAGGCTCTGGTGGCTGTGAAAACAGCAACAGCTGTAACCTGCCACACTAGAAAAAATAAATTCATTGGGTGAATCCCTGAGTGCTCACAGGAGGCTGGGGCACTGCTGTGTAAAGCTAGTGCCCTGTCCTCAGAACAACTTAGTGTGTAAAACCTAAGGGAGCTTACAGTTCCTATAAAATAATGACAACTTTGAGCTTTTTAAGACTTTGAAGGGCGTGAGTCTAACCGTGTGGCTATTTTTACAGTACGTATTGGTATGCCAAAAGAAGGTAGCCCAGATAGCTCACGTGACAATTTTTGAGATCTAAATAGACCAATACTTGCTCTTGCTCTACATTTTATATTTTATAACATAACTGTATAGTTTTAGTTATAAGTATTTTCCTCTCTTTTTAAATGGTGCCACATTGTGAGTACTTCCTGTGTCCTTTGTTTTCTTTTGTGTCTGGCATCAGAAATATTGAAAAATCTTATATTTAAAACAGGATGTTCTGAATTTGCTTTTACCCTTTTCATTCAGAGGAGTTGATCCAAGGGATCCACTGAGACACGGAGACTGGCGACTGTCAATTACTCAGGAGCTTGTCTGTGTAGTTTGTAAAAAAAACCAGTTCTCTTATTTTGCCTTTCTTATGCCTGTTATTCCTTAATCTCTCTTTTCTTTTTAGCCTGAGCATCATATAGGAAAAAGATTCTGACCTTCAGTGTTATTACTCTATTGGCAGCTTTGTTGAAAAGTTTGGTGAGTGATAAGGTTGTAGTTGAAATTGTTTCTAGATCTTTTTAAATCTCCATAAAACTTAAAAATTTTTGTCTTCTATTGGGCATATCTATCAGCCAGGAAAATTTCAGGTTTACTTTTTGTACTTTGTGTTATGAAAAAATGGTGTAGTATAATAGTGTTCTGATAAAAAGTGGAGACAGATCAGGCGCAGTGGCTCACACCTGTAATCTCAGCACTTTAGGAAGCACAGGTGGGCAGGTTGCTTGAGCTCAGGAGTTTGAGACCTGTCTGGGCAACATGGCAAAACCCCATCTTTACAAAAAAATAAAACTAAAAAAATTAGCGGGGCATGGTGGCGTGTGCTTGTAGTCCAAGCTACTCAGAAAGCTGATGCGGGAGAATCGCTTGAGCCCAGGAGGTTGAGGCTTCAATGAGGTGTGATCTTGCCACTGCACTTCAGGCTTGGTGACAGAATGAGACCCTGTCTCAAAAAAAAAAAAAAAAAAAAAAAAAAAAGATGGAGACAGTGCCGTATTGCCAGGGATTGAATCCTGACTTTCCCTTTCCTACTTTGTGGCCGTGGGTATATTTCTTCAACTTTCTGTGCCGTTGTTTCCTCCTCATGCCTGTCAATAATAATTGAACTTACTTTTTGGGTGGTTTTGAAGATTAAGTTAGTTAATGTGTATAAAGCCCTTAAAATCAGATAAATGTTATCTGCCATTATTGTTACACATATAATGAAAATACTTACAGTTTCGGTAACTAAATATGCTCCTTCCTCTATAGGTTCTGTTAGTCCAACCAAATTTTTTGGTTTATTTTCAGAGCCCTTGCATGGTTTTTGACAGTGATTTCCAAAAATCTTATAGTGGTTGACAGGTAAAAGAATTCAGTAATCCCCGAAGACCTTATGATTAGTTCGTTGTATTTTGTTTTAGAAAAGCAGGTGGTAAAGTGTAATTGAAGAACACTGCGAGGCCAGGCACAATGACTCAGGCCTGTAATCCCAGCACTTTGGGAGGCTGAAGTGGGTGGATCATGATATCAGGAGTTCGAGACTAGCCT